TGCCTTAGCCATTAGGCCACACAAGAAAAAGCTCTCCAAGTACTTCTTTAGAGAAGATGGAAACTATGTTTCTCAGACTCAGGTCACCCAATGAGGGGGGCCAAGACTCTCTGTGCACAAGAGATATGTGAGACTTAATTCTATGGAGCCAGGTGCAGGAGGGTTAGGCATGGAGGATTGGGGTGTAGTGGATGGACCGGCTGTCTAGGTGTGGAGATTTAGTTGCACTGAGGCACAGGAGGAAGTAGGAGGAGGAATCCTGCTCATAGGCAGTGGCTGTGGAGAAAAAGAGGTGGCAATTTCCCCATCCTAAATGGCCTGACCCTTCTCCCCTCTGCGGAGTGTGGCGGGGGGTGCAGTTCACCCCTGTGGGGCAGGTGGGCACAGGTGCAGGGTGCTGGGCTGCAATGCACCTGGAGGGCAGCTACGGTAGGGTGGGGCCGGGCCTGTGGTTTCCGTTCTGCATTCCCTGGTGCTGGGCCGTTGCACAATCCCAAGCCACACCACACAGTGCACCCCGAGAATGGGTGGGGGGCCAAGCAGATGATCCAGCACAAGGGGAAGAGGATATGTGGCTGGAGGGAGGGAAGGCCTTGAACTGCAGTGGGGGAATGCAGAGCAGAGGTGACACCTCAAAAACCTGCAGCAAAGGGATGGACAGGCTGGATGGTTGGATAGACAAGGCAGTGAGCCTAAAAGGGGAGTGGGGGTCTAGTGGTCAGAGTGGGTGGGGGCTGGGTGCCAGGATCCCTGGGTTTTATAACTGGCTCTGGGAGCTGAGGGGGGTCTAGAGGTGAGAGCAGGGGACTGAGAGCCAGGACTCCTGGGTTCCATAGTGGTGGCTGTTTTTTTCCTGTGTCTCCCTCCCTAGAGATCCCAGCCCAGCCCCCTAGCGGAACCTGAGTGGGAGTAGGAGGTTGCCCTTCCACTTCAGACTCGTGATTTGAACCCCTCCCCCCCACGGGCTGTGACATCACGGAATCTCCCACCCAAGTCACAAAGTAGGAGCCCCTCTCAGCATGAGGAGGAAGCTAGTGGGTTTCTTGGTGGTCTCTGGCAGAGGTGACAGCACCCACCAGACACCCCCTCATGGCTGCAAGGAGACTCTCCTGGACGTCCCCCTGCTACAAAGGGCCTGGGACGCCCAGCTAGGGTCAGGAGGTGAGATGGGGTCGCAGTGGCAGGAAGGGGGCAGAGCTGGGGGCTGGTGCCGGGTCGGGGGCTGGCTACATGGGAAAAAAACACACTGCTGTGTTACATATTTCCCAACGTTATGGCTGAATACAGGGTTTGGAATGACTTCAGGGAAATATTTTGTTTCTAAACAGACTCCAGATACTAAATGAGGGTGCTAATATGCTCCCCCTGTGCCCCTCCCTGCACCCCAACCCCCTGCTGCACCCCTCCTGCACCCCACACCCCTGCCACACCCTGCACGCCTCCTGCACTCCCTGCCCTAAGCCCCCTGCCACACCCCTCACCCCTCCTGCACCCCACACACCAACTCCCTGCCCTGAGCCCCCTGCACACCTCCTGCACTCTGTGCACTGAGCCCCCGCCACACCCCGCATCCCTCCTGCACCCCCTGGGGGCAGGGAGGGGGCAGAGTTGGGGTGAGGACTTTGGGGAAGGGGTTGGAATGGGAGCAGGGAAGAGGTGGGGCGGGGCAGGGCCTCATTGAAGGGGTAGAGTGGGGGCAGAGCCAGGGGCAGCAAGGGATGGGTGACAGTGACGTGGCCCTCGAGCCAATGCACTAGTCCTCATGCGGCCCTCATGGTCATTTGAGTTTGAGACCCCCTAATCTACATGGTAATATTTTAAACAGATTAATGTCATGGGGACAGAGAACTCAAAATATTCCCGCTTTTCTCTCTGCTTATGGTAACAACACCTGGAAGGACAAGGAACCACTGAATTTGGGGAGGGGTCCTGGCTAGAATCTTTCAGCCAGCAAGGCTGCTAAAGCATATGGTGAGAGAAACCTTTTGCTTTGAATTCACTTAGCTTATTATGTTAGGCATTATTTTTTACCTTTTCTTTCTTTTTAAAGAATTCTAACTTGTATGCCTCATTACTTGTCATCACTTAAAATCTACCTTTCTGTGGTTAATAAACTTGTTTTATTGTTTTATCTAGATGAGTGTGTTTGGATTGAAGTGTTTGGGAAACTCCCTTGGAGATAACCAGATTTGTGCCCATAATTTTCCATTAATGAAACGATGGACTTTATATGAACTTGAATTGTCCAGGAGTGTGCTGGGGAGTACAAGACTGTGACAGGGTCCCTGGGGTGCACCATGGAGTGTGGGACCACTGAGTCCTCCAAATGCACCAACCTGGGCTGCCTCTCACACTGTAATAGTCTGTACATCAGGTTCCAATCAAACTGCCCCATCACCACAGACCTGTTTAGTAGTGAATGTGAAAGCACCCAGCCAACTTTATTATTAATGAAGCACAGTCCTAGTATCCTGTAGACTCTACAGGAACCACTACCACATGTATGCTCATCACAATGGACCAGCTCAGTCAGTGGTGGGACTTTCCACTTCACCTAGACTGGCCAAAGACACTTCATCTGAGACTATTTTGTACACTGATACAAACAAGTTTCATATTGCCCCTCTGACGAGCCAGTTACTGCCCCTCTGACATGGTCAGTAACCACTCTATCTTGTACATGTTGGTTCAATCAAAACATCTCTATACATCACACTGTCATCCTGACCGTATCTTTAAGAGAGGTCAGGGGGTCCTGGTACCATCCTTCTGGAATGTGTTTGTGTGAATGTCCTGTGCCTAACACTTCTCAGGAATGTGTATGTTTTTGCAATGCAATCCCTGTTCTTGACAGATTTTGAGCGCCTGCATGCAGGCAGAGCTTGACTTCTGCTCAGAGCCTGTCTCTTGCAAGGCTTCACCACTGTGACACCGCACCCCATATTCATCATAGTGGTATCATTATATGATTAAGACATAGTTATAATGCATCTTATACAAAATATGCCATGTAAGGTATCTATGGAAAAGTTATGATTTGCTCAATATGATTATCCTATTTGTATGCATGTATCATTTTTGTATCTGGCGTTATGAATATTGACTAGGTATCTGTATTTCAAATGTGCTTACTCTGGGTAACATCCAGAACTAGCCTTTTAGGCACAACAATGTAGAAGCTAGACAAGTGGTGATGGCTCATCAACAAAGACAATGGTGCATGGAAGGGTTTAGCCTTCCTGAAAAGGCACCAGTCTATGAGTAATGTCTGCTATGACTCAGCAAGGCAGGCAAGGGTATGTGACCAGACCACATGACACTGAGCTCCATTTTGGCACCTATATTTTTCGACAAACTGGGTTGTGAACTTAGCTTTAAACAAAGGATTCCCATCATATGGAAAAACTACATAAAATGAGGAGTGACATAATCTCTGGGCCTCACTCCCCACACAAGAGAACTCTTGGAAACATCTGAGGAAAAAAGACTGAACTGGGGGAAGTGCTGGTCCCAGGCTAAAGAGATTCGAACCTGTGTATGGAAACTTGGTGGACTGCTTGTATCATCAGTCAGGGTGAGAACTTGCTAATTCAAATCCTATCTACCTAGTAGATTAGGCTTAGTTTGCAGTTTCTTGTTTATTTGTTAGCAAACAGCTCAAAGCAGATTACCTATCTCTTACAGTCACTTTATTAACTACAGAAAGATAGATTTTAAGTGAGTATAAGAGATACACAGCTCAAAGCAGATTACTAAGCAAATAAAACAAAATACGCAAACTAAGCTTGATTCACTAAAGAAACAGGATACAGAATGTAATTTCTTACCCTAAATGTTGAATTAGGCAGGATGAAGAGTTTCTGTAGCTCAGAGTCTCAATTATTTCTTCTTACAGACCAGAACCCTGCCTCAGTCTGGACTCTCCCCTGCCTTTCCCTTCAAGTCAGTTCCTTTGTTCCTCCAGGTACTTTCAGCAGTCCTCCTTCTTGGGAAGGCAATGGAGGAGAGTCTCGTTTGCCCTCCTCCCCACCCTTCCCTAAGATTTACATAAACCAGGAATCTTTTGTTTCCCAAACTTGACACTCCTTCTCCTTGTAGTGGAAAGTTACAAGAAGTCCAAGATAGTGTTTAGTATCAGGAAACAAGACCACCTGATCTAGCACTGTCACAGCTACATCCCAGGAAGGAGAGAGATTAGTATCTTTATAGTCTTGTGTCTTCCTAATGGCCCATCAAATCTGATGGCCTATCATCTGGTGGGTGTCTTCCCAATACACTCCCAGTTGTAATTATTACATAGTTGATATTCCTAACTTTAGATACAGAAATGATACATGCATACACATTGGATAATCACATTCAGTAAATCATAACCTATCAAATGATATCTTCCATGAGCCATCTTGCAGAAAGTATATCTCAGTTATGTCATATCCATATCATAAGCATATTTTCATAAAGGATATGGAGTGTAATGTCTCCATGCCTTGTACTAAAATTACTGCAAGAGTGTGTAGGATGTGAGCACTGGGATATAGTCGGTCACAAGAGCCTGGGTCAGAATTGCCTTGGGAAACAAACACATGTACCTTTTGCCTAGTTCCTAGTCACTTACTGTGGACTTCTCTCCCCAAATCATGTGAGACAATATTGACCTAAACAACACTCTGATTGTATCCAGTTATTTCAGTTAGTTGCACAATTTGGGGTGTGCTGTTGTTCACCATTTCAGATGGGAGATGTAAAAACAGTTGGCAGCATGTCCAAAAGCTCGGAGTATTCTCTCCTGTTTGATTGAACTGCACTTGAAGTTTCTCCATCTGATCATGGAGGGGGCAGGGAAAAGCAAAAATAAAATAAGAAAAGACTATTTGAATAAATTGTCATTTTGTCAAAGTCCCCAATCAATCTGAGCTATAGTCAGGCAAGTCAAACTAATATCTGGTTATGGGACCAAATGGCCCTCAAAAAAGAGGAAAAACCCACAACAGAGAGAGGTATAAGATACATCCAGTTTCATATAACTAGAAATTCCAGAGCAAGTTAAAGGTGATGACTCAGAATCAAGACAAGAGATTTTCCCATTACATTCTCTTCTGATCCATTGAAACCTGCTTCACTCGTTACTATTGAGTTGTATCATTTACAAAACTTCTAGCATCATCATAATGGGGAAAAAACCAACCTCTCCATCTGCAAACAATTCCATCTCAATAGGAAAAATCTGAGAAGAGGCTTTGCCAATAGTTGGAAACTGAGATTTGAACTCCAAATGATTATACTGCATTTGAGATCCATTCAAATTCCCCTTCCAGGTCTGTGACACTTTCATCTCAGGCCCTAAATCACTATGTTTTAGGATCAAATCTAAGTGTTATTCCCAAGCAGAGGGCTGAGAACACTGAATCATAAGACACAGTGAGGTGGAGGTGTAGAAAGTGGAAAACATAAATTCTGGCTCAAAGAGAAAAACACTGCTGGAGTAATTCGGAAAGGGGGAATCCTTGCGACTCACCACTTCTTCTTCAGGTGTCACGGAGGTTGAAAAAACTTATTTTCCTATCCCTAATCCTGCTCCTTCTCTTTGTTATATTTATATACATTTAAAATGAGAAAAATGGTACAAAAACGTTCAACAGAACCCAGTGCAATGTGAAAACAACTGGGAATCAGACAATCTGTCCATAGTGGGGGAATGTGGTGACCAACAATTGCTTTGCAGTGGGAGGAAAAGTATATATAGGATGCACCAAATTTGTTTACACTAGGAAAAGTGATGGATGTTATGTCAAGTCTTCACAAAATTTGCTAAATTACCATAACCACTATAAATGGACTATCTTTTTAATTGAAAAAAAACTTTGTTTTTATATCAAGACCGCTAATTGAAGCTAGCTAAATCCTAGTGGAATCAAGGCCCAAGTACATTAAACCTCCATGTCCCTAGTTGAGGTCACTCCTGGTTCCCCCACCTGGAGTTGACAGACATTCTTGTTTGAGGGATACTTCCACAACATAGAACAAAGCAGTTGATCATAAAGACTCTGGGATTCTCCCCAAGGGAGGATGTGCTACAGCAGGGAAAAGCAGACAACTCATCTGGGGGAACTGAAAGATCACAGGGACACAAATTATGCCTTAAATTTCACTATGTGAGAATTAGTGAAAGGAAAACAATATTTTCTCAGCTCTAGACAGGGTTTGTATGGTCTATCTCCCTTGCAGTATCTCTAATGATAAATAAAGGCTGAGTTCAGATATAAGAACTTGCCATATTCATAAAATTCATGGGGTCACTCTCTTCTGTGGATCCTCTGATGTCTAATAAGTTTTGAGCTCTGAGCAAAGGTTTTCCCGCACTCACAACATGCGTAAGGTTTCTCCCCTGTGTGGATTCTCTGATGTTGAATAAGGGCTGAGCTCTGAGAAAAGGTTTTCCTGCACTCACAGCATTCATAGGGTTTCTCCCCTGTGTGGATTCTCTGATGTTGAATAAGAGCTGAGCTCCAAGAGAAGGTTTTCCCACACTCACAGCATCTATAGGGTTTCTGCCCTGTGTGGATTCTCTGGTGGCTAATAAGGGTTGAGCTATCAGTGAAGGTTTTCCCACACTCATAGCATTCATAGGGTTTTTCCCCTGTGTGGATTCTCTGATGACTAATAAGGTTTGAACTACCCGTGAAGGTTTTCCCGCATTCACAGCATTCATAGGGTTTCTCCCCAGTGTGGATCCTCTGATGTCTAATAAGCTGTGAACTCTGAGCGAAGGTTTGCCCACACTCATAGCATTCATAGGGTTTCTCTCCTGTGTGGATTCTCTGATGTTGAATAAGGTGTAAGCTCCGAGAGAAGGATTTCCCACACTCACAGCATTCATAGGGTTTCTCCCCTGTGTGGATTCTCTGATGACTAATAAGGGTTGAGTGATCAGTGAAGGATTTCCCACACTCACAGCATTCATAGGGTTTCTCTCCTGTGTGGATTCTCTTATGTGTAGTAAGGTTTGAGCTCTGAGCGAAGGTTTTCCCACACTCACAGCATTCATAGGGTTTCTCCCCTGTGTGGCTTCTCTGATGGATAATAAGATGTGCTCGCTTACTGAACTTTTTCCCACAGTCAGTGCATGTGTTATTTCTCTCTCCCTTGAGGATAACCTGCTGGGCCATGGTATTCTTGTTGTGTTTCTGATTTCCCTGATAATTAACAGATTGACCAGTTTTCTGCATTGGTTGGTTTCCCTGCTGCTTCTCTGGCCAGTACTGACTCTCACAGGCTTTTTCCTGCTCACAACTCCTGGACACACTCTCTTTGCATCTTTGCAGTAACACTCCATGTGGTTCCACTTCCTCCTCATCTTCCTGCTGAGGATTCTGATCCATGGTCTCATTCACCATCCTCATTCACCTGGTGGGACAGAGAAAGAAAAACCTCAGAAACCAGAATGGAAAAGGGGAGAACAAACCAAAAGAACAGCTGGAGATGGAAAAAATTTCCCCAAACTCTTCTTTAAAGAGGAGAGAGTAGGGGATCAATTCTGCATCCAGTTCCCATCTAAACACTCAGGGAGAAGGAAGTTCATGGAGGGAGCTACTGCCATGAGTTAGTCAGGATGGGTAGGAAGCCAGGAGCAATATCTGTCCTGAGCATATGACACCTGCTGGAGACAATCCTGAATTCAGACAGCTCACAAGTCTTTGCTGGGAATCCCAGCTGTTTCCTTCAGGAACTGATAGTATTTGAGTTGGTTTAATGATCACTCACCTGTACAGCTGCCTCTCAGGATCTCGCTTTCCTCTGAGCTCTGGGGGAAATGGCTCTTCCTCACATACCATTCTCTAACTAATCTCACCCTTCGCTGCCTCCTGGGACCCAAGGAACAGCCACTCCTTGTGTTCTCTCCTCCCCTCCCATTGCCCACAGCCCTCCTTGTTATCAGTGCTCCCAAATTCTCTGCTCCCCAGCCATTTTCACCCCATAATCCCACTGTCTCAATTGTTCTGTGGTCCTGATTCCCAAGAGCTCCTGCCAAAAATGTGTCCCATTTCTCCCTCCCATAGCTAGCACCCCTTTTTCCTGGAGCACCTGCTACCCAGTACCTATGCTCCCCTTACTCTAACCAGCAGCAATCCTTCCAGATCCTTGAGTTCCATTTCTTCCAGCCCTCCACAGCATCCTAACTTCCTATAGCATCCCCACCACTAGTGCCTCCAGCACTCCTGGCTCACATGAGCTCTTTGCCCAAAATCTTCCTCTCCCCACTTTCTGACAACCTCCCCATTATTATCATTTATGATTTCTGTTATCATAACACCTAGTAGTGCAAATGGGACAAGGATCCCATTCTGCTGGACATTCTACAAACATAGAACAAAAAAGTCTTTGCCCCAAAATATGAGAATCTAAGAATAAGACAAGAGAAGGATGGATACAAACAGACATGGGTTTGACAGAGATGACAATTTTCTGCAATATTCTGGACCATCCTTACTGAATTAACTTAAACCTTACTGAATTAAGTTTTCAGTATCCTAGGAATTTATTGTATTAAAAATATAAGTGTGTATGTATTACTGTAGGATGGTCTGTAACATCTCTGGGGAGGGGACCTAGCTAACAAAAGTCCTAGAAAGTGTTATGAGCACCAAAGGACTTTTTGAAACAATGTGCTAGATAAAGTTAAGTGGGATAGATTCCTAGGAAATACATGGGGGGGGAGGAGAAGGCAATGTCTCACCTCCACACCAAAGCTATGGAAGCTGCACCCTGAGGAGAAACCATTGCCCGCTGATCATCTATTACATGAATGTAAGTTCTACTCCTGGGAGCATTCTGCACCAAAAAAATAAAAATTCTGCTCACAGTATTTTAGAATTCTTTATATTTTGTGAAAATAACACAATTTAATCACACCAGTTTCAATTATTTTGGTAATTTATTTAAAAATACCTGTCAGCAAGTATTTCTCTATCAATACAGAGCACAAAAAGGTTAAGTAAATGGTTTTTGACAAAAAGATTCATTACTAGGGATATTAATACAAAACTGAAATAATTCATTTAAACTAGAATAGAGAAATGTATTTCCAGCACTCCCAGAAGCAGTGCAAAGTCTTGTGGGAATCAGGGGTAATGGAGGGGAGGATGGAGTGGAAAGTAATTGCTGGGAAGGGGGCTGGATGTTAATCTGGAGGGTTTGCGGGGGCGGGTGGGAGAAGTATAGAACAGTTGTTGATGGGGAGGATTGTTAGGGAGCCTCCCCAATGCGGACCCAGGCTGACCCCTAGTCTCTCTCTCTCTCATTCAGTCAGGCACATCTGCCTCTGTCCCCATGTGTCTTTGAACCCCCACTCAGGCACCCCACTCCCCTATGTGTCCCTGCACCTATTCCCCCATCCCCATGTGGCCCTGCGATCTCACTCAGCCACCCTCTCCTCTACCCTAGGTCTCCCTGCACTCCCTCCCACTTCCCCATATGGCCCTGTGTCCCCACTCAGCCACCCCCTCCCATCCCCATGTGTCCCTACACACCCACTCAGCTACCCCTCCTCCTCCATTCCTATGTGTCCCTGCAACCCCTCTGTCCTGTCCCCATGTGTTCCTAAACCCCCTCTCCCATTGAGGCCCCACACCAGTCTGTCCCTCCCCACTAGGTCTTCTGAACCTCAGTCTGACCACTCAGCAGCCCCACGTGCCCATGCTGTCCATCCCTTCATAGCCAGTACTTCCTGACCCAGCCCCACAATTAGCGCACTATGAGGAACCCAGCCTCTTCTCCCTATCTGCAGCAGGAGCTGGTCATGCCAAGAGCGGCTGCTCTCTGTTCTGGTACCACAGCAGACCCAGGTAGGAAAAAGGTACTACTGCAGCACATCTCTGGCAGAATGTATTTTCTGCAGAGAAAAAAAATTCTGCACACACCCAAGAGTAAAGTTTAGAGGCTCAAACTGGATAAAAGAGTGACTCTCAGATGCATGGATATGCTTGTTCTGAGCTAACAATTATGAGCTTGCAACCAGAAAAAAACCCAACAACCTCTTGGTGGGGTTTGAAGGTCTGTTCCAGTGCCTCAGCCCTTGGTGGGGCAGGGGTGATCTCTGGTAAGCTTATTAGCATGCATATAGATTTTACTATTCTTTTTTAAATGTTCGCTCTGTAATCTTTTAACTTGAGACTCATTGTTTGCTGGGAAATGGCTGTGTGGTAAGTTAAGCAGGGGGCAGTTACACTGTTCGTAGCCTCTCAGGAAGGAAGGCAAAGCAGGGCTGCTGAGGGGATCTGCCTTGCTGGGGAATTCACAGGGTAGGCAGGGAGCTGTGCAGCCTGGATATACATCTCTCTCCCTCCTGACTGTTGTGGGTTTCTACCCAAGAGAGGTGCTGGCTGGGCAGCCTGAGAGTGGGTGCCCTTGCTGGACCACAGAGGGGGAATACAGGTCCAATGAATACAGGATCTGAATAGTGACAGGGGGACCACAAGGAAACAAGACAAAATTTGTCACCCGGATAAATAATGGTCTCAGCACACCAGCACCCTAACCGTTGTCATATGTTTGAAGGCTTCATGGAACAAGGGAGTTGTATGGAGGGATGGGAAGGATGATAACAAGGTAGGTCTGGGGATGCTTACATAGGCGCCAACTTTCTCCGGTGCTGGCGGGTGCCTGCGGCCCCCTGCCCCTGCCCCTGGCCCCACCCTGACTCCACCCCCATTCCAACCCCATCCCCAAAGTCCCGGCCCTAACTCCGCTCCCTGTCCCTATTGGATCCCTTCCCCAAATCCCCACCCCAGCCCCGCCTCTTCCCCCAGCGCGCCACGTTCCCCCTCCTCTCTCCCTGCCCCGCGAATCAGCTGTTTCGCAGCGCTGGGAGGGAGGGGGGAGACGCAGGATGTGGCAGCTCGCTTGTGGAGGAGGTGGAGGTGAGCTGGAGCGGGGGTGGGGGCGGGGCGGGGCCTATGGATGCTTATGGGGAGTTCCTCCAAAGAGCAAGGAGCAGCATAAAAAAAGCACAGAACCATAGAAATGTAGGGCTCGAAGGGAGCTCAAGAAGTCATCAAGTCCAGACCCATGTACTAAGGACCCAGTAAACCTAGACCATCCCTCACAGACATTTGTCCAATCTGTTTTTTAAATTTTCAATGATGGGGAATTCACAATCTCCCTTGGAAGCCTATTCCAGAGCATAACTATCCTTATAGGTAGAAAGTTTTTCTTAATATCTAACATAAATCTTCCTTGCTGCAATGTAAGCTCATTAAGGACCTGACAGAAGAGACCTCTGAATCATTAGAGATAATCATTGAAGGTGTCTTCAAGTCAGGAAGGCCTGATGAAATCAGCCAGTTCCTTAATTATTCTTGGGTGTAAGAGAATCCTGAGCCATTGATGATTATCTTTGAGGACTCAAAGGATAGGAGATATCCCAGAGAACTGAAAAAAGGGAAACATAGTACCTAATTACAAAAAGAGATCAAGGACAGCCTAGGGAATTATAGACCAGTCAACTTAATTTTTGGTAACCAGAAAGATGATGGACCAAATAATCAAACAAATTGTAAGTGAAGAAAATAAGGTGAGACGCAACTGTCAACATACATTTGTCAAGGATAAATCATATCAAACCAACCTAGTTTTCTTTGAAAGAGTAAGAAGTTTTGTGGATGGGAAGAGCAGTAAATATGATATATTATGTCCAGGACTCAGCAGTCCAACGTAACCTGCGACCAGGCTGAACGGTAGGGAGAGAGGCGGTTGAGGAAAAGGCGGGAAGGAGCTGCGTGGCTGACTGGGGCGTCACTCTCTAGCAGACCCTCAAAATGAGTGCTTTTGGCCCCCTAGATGTTTGGCGGATCCAGGTTGCACAGGTGAGTGGGAGGAAGAAGGGCGTTGATGACTAAAACTAGCTCCAATAAGGCCACTGCACTGGCCACTGGCCGTGCTGCCACTGCATTGCCGCAGATGACAGTGTGGGTTCCAGTGCCCAATCTCACCAATGGGACCTGGGCGACAGGCTGAACTGGCCCTCTATGCTGGAGAAATCACCTTCCAGTGACTAGGGAGGGGCCGTTGACACCTGTGGCTGTTTGCTGGTCGTGGCTACTGGCAACCACTGACCAGACGTGGGAGACTGGTGTCAGTACTGGGGAGAATGGTACCAGAGCCTGGGAGAATGGTGCAGAGACAGGGAATGCTCCCACTGTGCCAGCAATCATGACCGATATCTGGAGGACAACCGACGAGAGGATGAGCGGTGCTGGGAGAAGTATAGGGAGCGTCGACCCTATACCGTTGAGTAATGCCGAGGGGATCTCGCCTTGCTCTGAGTGACCGATGACATGACTCAGACATGCCCCGGGATCCTCGACGCGGTGGAAAGGATCGTCACTTTCTGTCTGGCGATGTTC